TGCCACACTGAGCCAGTTGAGTGTGGAAAACCTCTCCATTGTGCTGCTTGCCACAGACTCTAGAAAGTTCGTAGGGAAATGATTTATGACAAAATTGCACACACAGAAAGCACCATATCTTCACACAGCCGGGGTTCCCTGGTGATGAGGGACACAAAGACATCACGCACAATAGGTGTCCCTGTCCATTGTCTGCCGATCGCTATCTTTGATCTTTGCAGAGGAGCAATGGTGAGGCACTGTGAACAGATAACAGAACAGAAATCGGAAGAGCAGTGGGCAGGGTGCTGCTCAGGCTTGGTCACGGTGACACCAGGACACCTCACATCCGATGATCTGCATCTTCCCCTGGTGCCTTGAATCCCTTGTGTCCTTCCAGCTGGACTTCAGAGACCCTGCTTTGTCCTCGGCACTTTACAGCATACCACCTGGCACCTGTAGGTTCTTTCTTTCTGAGCCCACCAGAGGGAACGGGTCCATTGTTGTTTTTCCTTGGTCTCATGACACTTTCCTCCCAGTGCATCCACTTCCAGCAGCTCTCCGAAATGGGTTTGACTCTTACATCTTACTTAGTGCTGAGAACTCACTTTGCTGTTCTAAAAGCACTGATATCTGTCGATTGACTTGGAGTCCAGGAGCTGAGTATAAGTTCTTACTGTGTATAATGCCAACAACTTTTACAGATATTAGCAAAGCTGGGAGATAAGATACCAATTCTGTACCTAAGAATTGTACCCTCTAATAATGGCACACTTGGACATGTGATACCAGATGTAAGCCATATGAAAGTTACTCTGACCCGGGCTCGGTGGCTCAGCCTGTAATCCCGCGCCTTTGGGAGGCTGAGGTGAGTGGATTGCCTGAGCCTGCGGGTTCGAGACCCACCTGGGCAGCGAGACCTCATCTCTACAGTAAATCAAAAAATCAGCTGGGTGTGGTAGTGCATGCCTGTAATTCCAGCTACTAGGCGGAAGGATCGCCGGAGCCCAGTAGGTCGAGGCTGCGGTGGCCGAGAGCAGACACTGCACTACAGTCTGGGTGACAGAGTGAGACTCCAACTCAAAAAAAAAAGAAAGTTACTCTGAAATGCCATGGAAGACTGGGGTTAGAACTATGCCTTTAAGGAGGCCCGGGGAGCCACCTGTCAGGACTGACAGCCATCCTAGAGGTGAGTGGTGGAGTGGTAGAGGGCTTTTCACCCTCCGCACATCATCTCACAGGACGATGTCTATCAAGGGCAGGTGCAGACATTCCCATTTAATTGTCTGTGTGGAGTGGGGTCCAGAGGTCACTGTTGTCAGAAGTTCTGCAAGTGATGACAGCGTGCCTCTAGGGAGGAGAGGAGGAGGCGAGGAAGCCAGCGAGTTGGGAGTGACACTATTGTCTTGAGCTCAGGTGCCACCTGGCATACATTCTCAGACTCTTTGGTCTTCATAGTAAGTGAGATGGTGTGACACATAGGGGTCTGACACCCGTCTTCATGGCAGGAGACTCTGCTGCCTGCCTCTATCCTTGGGAGGGACATGTGCTGTCCTGCATGTCCTCTTCTGTCCTGCACAAAGATTGCCGTTCTCTGATCGTTTTCCACTCTACTATGGTAGAGATGGTCTCACCCTTTTTGAGCCTTGGAAACCCAGCCCTCAGACTAACTCCAACCTAGTGAATCTTCCTCTGCTGTTCCAGTCTCCACTTTCTTGATTTTTATTTATCTTTACAACTCTACCATAACTCTGTACATGTTCATATGAAGAGAGCTGTGGGCCAGATACAGAGAGAGGCCCTCCTGTGCCTGAACATGAGTGCTAGGCCAGGGCTTTCTCATCCTGTCATCCTGCCCAACGCAAACGGCTCCCTCCGTGTCATGTGGAAAATGTGGGTGCAGACTCACAGATACACGACTGCAGGTTGCAAGTGTGCTCTACCCATGCACCGGTGGCACAGCAGCGTATGAGCAACTTGCTGGGTGGGGAGCAGATGTCTCTGTGTGGACAAGGACAGCTCTGCCTATGGGCATCTCTTGCTGTGCTTCCTACTGTCTGAGGCCCAGCCTTGGGCCTTCTGAGGAGTCTAACCCAGGCATTCTCTACCAAGGTTGTTCAGCCTGTGTCCTCAGACTCTCCCAGGGGATACAGAGGCATTGAACAAGTGGGAGGGTGTCCCTGGCGATCAAAGGCAGAAGAATGCTGCTGTCCCTAAACAGTTGTTATATGCAGAGGGAGGGGAAAACCTTATCTGTTTTTGAGAACAAATGTGTCATGATTAAGGTATCCAGTTAGTAAAATGGAAAAACAATTTGATTTTGAGAGTTAGTTTATGAACATTTGTCTTTTATTCTTTTTGTTAACAGTGTTAAGTATAAGTTATGTACAAATATTTTGCCTTTTTTTTGAGTTGGAGTCTCACTCTGTCACCCAGACTGGAGGGCAGTGGCACGCTCATGGCCACCGCAGCCTCTATCTGCTGGGTTCCTGCAATCCTTCCGCCTCAGCCTTCCAAGTAGCTGGAACTACAGACATGTGCTATCACACCCAGCTAATTTTTGATTTATTGTAGAGATGAAGTCTCACCAAGTTGTCCAGGTGGGTCTCGAACCCACGGGTTCAGGCAGTCCTCTTGCCTAGGCCTCCCAAAGTGCTGGGATTACAGGCTGAACCACCAAGCCTGGTCAAATATTTTTCTTTACAGAAGTAACACATGATTTATATAGAAAAAATTTAAAATACAGCAAAAAAGAAAAAAAGGGGGGAAAATTGATTAGTAATCCTACCAGCTCAAAAGCACCACTTGGGTATATTTCTTCTACATGGTGGTAGGGGCTGGGGGATAGGGAACCGTGTAAAGGCCTTTGGAACAAGTGAGAGTTTTTACTTAGCAGTAGTGGACATTTTCCACTATGGGCTATGTCATATCTCTATGCATGGACATACTCAAATTCATTGAATCTGTCCATCACTATTGTACATTTATGTTGCTTCTAATTTTTATTTCCAGCTACTATAAACAGTACATTAAAGACCATCCTGGCCGGGCTCAGTGGCTCAGTCTGTAATCCCAGCGCTTTGGGAAGCCGAGGTGAGTGGATTGCCTGAGCCCACGGGTTCGAGACCCGCCAGGGCAACTTGGCAAGACCTCATCTCTACAATAAATCAAAAAAAAATTAGCTGGGCGTGGTAGCGTGCGCCTGTAGTTCCAGCTACTTGGAAGGCTGAGGCGGAAGGATCACCAGAGCCCAGCAGGTCGAGGCTGCAGTGGCCGGGAGCATGCCACTGCACAGCAGTCTCTGGGACAGAGTGAGACTCCAACTCAAAAAAAAAAAAAGACCATCCTTGTAGCTAGTTATTAGCTACAGTATCGTTTGGATGATATAAAAATTTAGTATAGGGCTGGGCGTAGTGGCTCAAGCCTATAATCCCAGCACTTTGGGAGGCCGATGCGAGAGGATTGCCTGAGTCCACTGGTTCAAGACCAGCCTGGGCAACATGGTGAGACCTCTTTATAATAAATCAAAAAATTAGCCGGGCTTGGTGGCTCAGCCTGTAATCCTGTGCTTTGGGAGGCTGAGGTGAGTGGATTGCCTGAGCCCATGGGTTTGAGACCCACCTGGACAACTTGGCGAGACCTTGTTTCTACAATAAAATTTTTAAAAAATCAGCCAGGCATGGTAGCATGTGCCTGTAATTCCGGCTACTTGGAAGGCTGAGGCAGAAGGATCGCCAGAGCCCAGCAGGTTAAGACTGCAGTAGCCATGAGCGTGCCACTGCACTCCAGCCTGGGCAACAGAGTGAGACTCCAACTCAAAAAAAAAAATAATTAGTATATTTGTGACAAGGAATAGCAACTTGAAGTACAGTGAGAAAGAATGTCATTGCATATAATATATATAGGCTTAACTTCAAAATAGCAAGCTTAAATCTTCCCTTGTGGTACGCCTGACAGATTTCACTGATGATCTTGGAGGTGTGGCATGCAGCTATTGCTGGAATGGAGTAACACATGGTGTTCAAAGTCGGAACCATAATTGATTTAATGCATATCTTTGCTGCTTTGACATGTCAGTTATCCTTTATGAAAAGAGGAATTCTATACACTGGTAATATATAAATAAAATTATAAGAACATGTAATACCATAACATGATATTTAATGATCAACCTGGTTTTTTAAGAGAAGAAAAAGTAGCTTTTGCTGGGTTTGGTGGCTCACCCTGAAATCCCAGCACTTTGGAAGGCTGAGGTGAGTGGATTGCCTGAGCCCACAGGTTCGAGACCCACGTGGGCAACTTGGCGAGACCTCATCTCCACAATAAATCAAAAATTAGCCGGGCGTGGTAGTGTGCACCTGTAGCTCCGGCTACTTGGAAGGCTGAGGGGGAAGGATCACCAGAACCCAGCAGGTGGAGGCCACGGTGGCCGGGAGCATGCCACTGCACTCCAATCGGAGCAACAGAGTGAGACTCCAACTCAAAAAAAAGAAAAAGTAGCTTTTGTCATTGTTTACATGTTCTCTGGTACTGTTTGAGTCATAACCAGAATCACGAAATCTGAGATCCCAAAGTCTGTGTCCTCCCTGCCTCCCTCCAATTCTGAGAGGCAGCTCTGTGTCTCTTTCTTTGAATACTAAGTACTTTTCATTTTATTCTTGCCTTTGTGCCTTTGGCTTTGAGCCCTGTTGTGGCAGTAGTTTGTACTTCAAGGTGTGTTTTTCATTTTTGTGTGAGGACTCTGGGAGGCCAGCAGAAGCCTCTCTGGAGTCCTGGCCCTCTTTCAGTCTCCACATTAAGGAGGTAGGGTCTCTTTACCCAGGGCTTCCTGGATATAACTGTGGTTTGATTCCAACTCATAATCCCTGACCATTTTAACTGATGGGACAAGGACTGAAACGGCAGTCTCTGGAGGATGGAATACTCTGAGCTTCCTTGAGAGTGAGTATTCATCTCTTCTGGGCCCTTGACCATTTCCCTGATTTGATCCTAAATCTTTTTCTCTCTTTCCCTTTCCTTAGGCAGGAGGCTCCCAAGTAATTTTCACAAATCCTTTGGAAATCGTCAAGATCCGCTTGCAAGTGGCTGGAGAAATCACCACGGGACCCCGAGTCAGTGCCCTGTCCGTGGTGCGGGACCTAGGCTTCTTTGGGATCTACAAGGTAACTTTCTTTAGTAGGTTACATGGTTGCTTTCTCGTCTCCTTAAAGTAGTCACTGTTAACAGCATGAAGTCCATTTCCTCCATTCTACGCCTGGAGAAGATACTGTGTTGGAGCTTAGAGGGGACCTTTACGCCAGTTAGGAGGAGCCACCATGCTGGTCATCTAGGATGACTGTGGTGTGTGAAGCACCCCAAGAGCTGCCCAGCACAGCTGTCTGCAGCAACACTACCGGGGCTTTAGTTGTGTTTGTTACCAGTTACAAAAATTGAATTCTCAGTGCCATCTTCCAGGAAGGATGTCAGGGTCACAGAGCACCATGTGTTGGGAGAGAGCTGCCCATCCCAGAATTTCTCTTCTGACCCCAAGCATCTGGTCCTACCCATGTTTTCTATTGGTATGTGTGCCTTGTCTTAATTATTATAAACCTTAGCCATTTTTTCATTTTAAAATATGGTTTTTCAGAATGATTGTGAAACAAAACTTGGAGAGAATTCTTGAAATTTGTTATTCACACTACTCTACCAAAAAGTTGTAATGGAGAACGAGTGTGGTGGCTCACACCTATAATCCCAGCACTTTGGGAAATTGAGGCAAGAGGATTGCCTGAGCCCAGAAGTTAGAGACCACCCTGGGCAACTTGACAAGACCTCATCTGTACAATAAATCTAGCTGGGCGTGGTGGCACATACCTGTGCTTCCAGCTGCTTGGAAGGCTGAGGTGGAAGAATCTTCTGGGCCCAGCAGTTCGAGGTTGCAGTTCGCCACTGCACTCCAGCCTGAGACTCTGACTCAAAAAAAAAAAAAAGTTTTAATGGAATATACTAAGGCCCTCCGCATATATGCCCAGCTATAGGGCTTTATAAAACATAAAGTATTCACCAGTTTCAGTGAGAGGACTTTTAAAAACTGTTTTGTGCCAACTTGAATAACTAAACTTTTAGGGAAGTAGGGGGGAAAAGTCAAATGTCTACTTAAAATGGTTTCTTTTTTTTGCACAGAAACATACAATCACATCAGAAAAAATTAATATTGCTTTTTTCTATACATATAAAAAACTGTCATTTAAATTATTCCTATGAATTTTGAATCAGTGTCTTGATCACCAGCTAATCCACTTTTGGGTCATCTGTTGGAATGGTTTAACAAAGTGCATTGTCCTCATTTTCATCTCAAGCATTGCACGGTGAAGCACTTTGGTTCCCCATGTGTAATATTGTTTCTGGAATTTTTTTCCCATAGACAAATAACACTAAGACAGCTGATTTCTTTTTTCTATTTCCAATTCATTCTGAACGGATATCACTGGTTCCCATAATGTGGCAACTTACCCTTTTGCTTTTTACAGTGAACTTTAAGTGGCCTGTTTTGACATTCGCACAGCATTTGTGAGCTCCCCTCCTCCCCAAATACTTTCCACTTTTCTTTTTAACCTGAGTTCTGCAGGTGACCTCGGTAAAAACCAGAATTAGTCATAATTGAGGTTGTTTCAGGCAAATCTGCCTTCTCTACATGGCATTCTGTACTTCTCAAGGTCAAGTGATTGGGAGAGTACCCCATCATCTGAGATTTTGTGAGGATCAGACATAAAGTGATGTCTTCTTTCCTGGGATTAATTTTTGTAGGGAAAAACTTACCTTATATTTAGGCATATGTGGTGTTTAGGAGTAAGCATGCTCTAAAATGCTCAATCTGTGATTGTGCCACATAGCGCAATGTTCTATAGCTATTTTGTTTACAATTTCAGCTGTAAAAAAATAGCATTGATCAATTTGAAGAAAAATCATCATCTTTTCTAAATTTTCAGGCTCTTACAATCTATAATATGGTGTAGCAACATGTCACTTTGACAGGATGCCAAGAGTCTTTCAGTGGGTTGTCTAGTAAAAAGCACTTAGTACTATGGCAGCAACTGTTATCGAAATGTCTAGATGGATAAAATGGTGAAAACTTGTTTGTTGATACTGAAACAGAAACTGTTAAACTGCAAAGGATACAGCGCTAGGGCGGGGGCTTTTCATCTTCACATTATTTCATAATCTTAATCCCCTGAAACATTCCTTGGAAGGAACTGGCATCCTGAATTTTGTAGTTTGGTGGAGAACGACTGCCAGCTGTGGTATCTGAGCTGAAACTGGGGCTCAGAAGTTTCTTGTTTCCACTTTGGTGCTAAAATTGATTTCCTGAAATAAGCAGGATTGCTCAAGTCGGAGCAAGAGAACTGGCCCATATGAAGTGAGTTTAATTACTAGTCTAGTGGTTTAATCTAGTTCAGAGGCATTCCACAGGGCTCGGTGCACCTTCCCAAGCGCTGTTTTTGGTGTGTTGGTAATTACCAAGCAAAGTCACAAAGGCTTTGAGCTTCTGGAAACTTGGTTTCCTTGCAAGAGAGTGACCTGGTGATCTCTGCCTCCTGCAACCCTTGGGATCAGCTAAATTCGGTAGCTTGTGCATCTGGGCTTCATTTGGAGGCATTCCCCTCTGTGGGGTGGCCCCTTCCAGTCCGACTGGCGCTTGCATCGCCATCCTGGGTGACCCTATTTGTATCCCCCCCCAGCTTGGGCTTTGTTCCTTGGGTACTTCTCCAGGTCCACCCTTTCACCTCCTTCCTGGGCCAGAAAATCATTTCAGCAGGATCCACCTTTTAGGGAGCATCACAGCTGTCGCTGTAGTTTCATCTATTTCTCTTTGCTTTTCTCTGTTTCTTGGCTTGGCTGGATAAAAAAATGCACCAGCCCAAAAGTGACCTCATAGCCACTTATAGACCTGGAATGTGTCCCTCCTGGTGGCTGTTCACCTGGAGGTGTTCTAGCTTTAGTTGGGACAGTTAATCTTCCTTCTCCTTTGTCGCTGTTGTTAACATCACAATGCAGGCCCGCCAGGGTGGCAGCTGGCCCCTGCCTGTGTGTTGAGGCTTGCCTGCTAACCTTCCCCCACTGAACTTAGCCTGGCTTTCTGCCCTCTCCTGAATTGATTTGCAAAACACCAAACTCTTCCCACTCCACAATAAATGGCAGAATACTTGCCTAGAAATACATTTGCATCTGAAATAAAGGGAGAAAACAGTAAACATTTTGCATTCCTGAAGTTCAAATAGTTTGAGCAGATATGGGTGGGCTGGTGGGAGCCAACAGTATAAACAAAGCCCCCCTCTCAAATGCTCACGTTGGGAGAGACTTCCTTGCAGCACAGGGGGATAGGTGGTTGAAATAATGGCAGCCTAATTGATTAACTTTGAAAGAGCTATTTGAGTATATTGTGACTACAAAATGGCTAGAACAGTGCTGGGCACACATCAACTTGCAGGAAGAGTGCTCTGAGTAAGTGAATTCATCTGATTTACATTTTAAGTGAATCCTCTGGCAGTTGTGGCAGCAATGAATTTAGGAGAGTCAAGAGTCAAAATAAAGCCCTGGAGAGGTTTCCACTGAGGAATGGGCACCCAAGACGGTCTGTGAGGTCACTGTGTGCATGAAGTCATGGGAATAGGTAGGAACTCTAGACTGCAGAACTGCCATGGACCTCATGGCCACCGGGGTCAGGTGGCAAAAAGGGCTGTGGGTAGAGAAAACAGCAGAGGCAACTGTTGATGGAAGGATGGTGTCATGGGAGCCAGTAGGGGAATGGGGCATGGGGGAAGAGAAACAGGCGATGGCATAAGGCGATGGTATCATGTGCTGCAGAGACCAGGGGGACCCAGGGCAAGAAAGGCCTTGAACTATTCCCAGTGACATCTCCTTGTGTTCATTTGAGTAGTTTTGTGGCACAACCTACAGGATAGGAGAAAAGATTTGCAAACCTTGTATCTGATAAAGGGCTAATGTGCAAAATAGATGAGGAACTTCTGCTACTCAGTAGCAAAACCTGATAACATAGCCTGTTTTCACATAACAACAGTGGGCAGGGGACTTGAATAGACATTTCTCCAAAGAAGACATGCCAATGGCCAACATGTGTGGTAAGATGTTGGACATTGCTGATCATCAGGGAAATGCAGATCAGAACTACAGTGAGATGTGATTTCACACCTGTGAGGACAGCTGCTGTCAAAAAACCAAAAGATAAGAAGTGGTGATACAGATATGGAGAAATCGGAATCCTTGGTGGTGGATATGCAGAATAGAATGGTGCAGTTGCTATGGAAAAGCATGTGGAGTTTTCACAAAAAGTTAAAAGTAGAACCACTATGAGGTCCAGCAGTCCCACTTCTGGGTGTATGTCAAGAAGAGTTGAAGCCAGGCTCAGTGGCTCAGCCTGTAATCCCGTGCCTTTGAGAGGCTGAGGTGAGTGGATTGCCTGAGCCCGCGGGTTCGAGACCCACCTGGGCAACTTGGCGAGACCTCATCTCTACAATAAATCAAAAATTAGCTGGGTGTGGTAGCTCGCGCCTGTAGTTCCAGCTACTTGGAAGGCTGAGGTGGAAGGATCATCGGAGCCCAGCTGGTCGAGGCTGCAGTGGCCAGGAGCGTCCACTACACTCCAGTCTGGGTGACAGAGTGAAACTCCAACTCAAAAAAGAAGAGTTGAAATCAGATACATCAAAGAGATACCTGCACTCCCATGTTCATTGCAACATTTGCAATACACAAGATATGAAATAACCCAGATGTCTAACAGTAGACGAATGGATACAGAAAATATGGCATATTTATGTAATAGAATACTATCCAAAAGACAGAAATCCTACATTTACCATGACATAGATAAACTGAAAGAGATGACAGAATAATGCAGGACTTGACTTAACTTGGTGTACAAGAGAGTGACTGACACTTTTCACCAACATACCAGCACCAAAAGTTGGGGGGAAAAAAACACTGTGCCATACTGGTAGCTTTTTATTCTCTTTGTCAGAAATACCTGCCATAAAACAAACATTTTGGACATTTTATTGTCTCATTTAAGGAAAGATTTTTAGATATTTTAGGAGAGTGTATCAAGTATCTTTAGGGGCCAGGTTTGTATCTAATATGGCATGAGCTTTTTAATAATATTGGAATC